GAGGGAGAAAGAGAGGGAGAGAAACATCAATGTGTGGTTGCCTCTTGCACACCACCTACTGGGGACCTGGCCAGCAACCCAGGCATGTGCCCTGACTGGGAATTGAACTGATGACTCTTTGATTTGCAGGCCGGCAACCAATCCACTGAGCCACACCAGCCAGGCCTAGGAATAAATTTAACTAAGAAAGTAAAATACCTGTACTCAGAGGATTATAAGATACTAAAGAAAAAAATGAGCCCTGCCTGGTATGGCTCAGTGGACTGAACACCTGCTTAAGAGCCAAAGGGTTGCCAGTTTGATTCCCAGTCAGGGCACATGCCTGGGATGCAGGCCAGGTTCCCAGTAGGGTGTGTGATATTTACTCTTCTACCCATGGGCACAGTATATTATTCTATTTATTTGTATCTTTTCCAGTTTTTTTCTTTTTTTAAAATAATATTTTATTTATTTATTTGTAAAGAGGGGAAGGGAGGGTGAAAGAAAGGGAGAGAAACACTCCCTCTCTTTGAGTAGCACTGAAATGTCAATGCTACCCAAAGCTTAATGGAGAAAAACAATCTATAGATTTGACACAATTTTAACCAAATTAAATACCAATGACATTTTTCACAGAACTAAACCAAAAGTATATATGGAATCACAAAAGACCCTGAATAGCCACAGTCATTTTGAGAAAGAAGAACAAAGTTGGAGGTATCATGCAACCTGATATCAACCTATACTACAAGGCTATAGTAATCAAATTAGGATGGTACTGGCATAAAACAAATGTGTAGATCAATGGAACAGAATAGAGAGCCCAGAAATAAACATGCATCTATATGGTGAATTAATCTATGACAGTGATCGTCAACCAGTGTACTGCAAGAATTTTTAAAATATTCAATACCTGACTTTAGTCAGAAGCAGTGACCCATTTTTCCCTTAGATCGTCCAATTAAAAAAAAGACAACAGCTAATATAACAATAAATGTCTATTGTGAATGAATCAAAATTATGCCAATTTTTTTTGTCAGGTTGGCAAAACATTTTTTGTATGTCACAGAATTTTAGCAATTAGTTTATGTGTGCTATGGGATGGAAAAGGTTGGAAATTGCTGATCTATGACAAAAGAGGCAGGAGTATACAATGGAAAAAGTCTGTTCAATAAATGGTGTTGGGAAAATTGGACATATACACAAAAAATGAAACTAGATCATCTTCTTACAACATATAGAAGAATAAACTCAAAATTTATTCAAGACTTAAATGTAAGACTTGAAATCATAAAACCCCTAGAAGAAAATGTAGGCAGTAAAATCTTGGACATTCCTCTTAGCAATACTTTTTTCTGATGTATCTCCTTGAGAAAGGGAACCAAAAGAAAAAATAAACAAATAGAACTGCATCAGATAAAAAGTTTTTGCACAGCAAAGGAAACCATCAACAAAACAAAAAAACAACCCATTGAATGGGAGAAGATATTTGCCAATGATGCACCTGATACAAAATTTATAAAAAGCTCATACAACTCACCTAAAAAACCAAATTATCCAATTAAAAAATGGGCAGAGGACCTGAATAGACACTCCATCATAGAGGACATACAGATGGCTAACAGACATATGAAAAGATGCTCAATGTCACTAATCATCAGAGAAGTGCAAATTAAAACCCAGTGACATACTCACACTTGTCAGAATGGCTATCATCAATAAATCAACAAACAAGTGCTGGCGAGGACATGTAGAAAAGGAAACCCTAGTGCAGTGTTGGTGGGAATGCAGACTGGTGCAGCCACTGTGGAAAACAGTATGGAATTTCCTCAGAAAACTAAAAATGGATCTGCCTTTTGACCCAGCAATTCCACTGCTGGGATTATACCCTAAGAACCTGGAAACACCAATTCAAAAGAACCTATGCATCCCAATGTTCATAGCAGCACAATTTACAATAGCTAAGTGCTGGAAGCAACCGAAGTGCCCATCAGTAAATGAATGGATCAAAAAACTTTGGTACATTTACACAATGGAATTCTATACAGCAGAAAGAAAGAAGGAGCTCCCATTCTTCTCAACAGCATGGGTGGATCTGGATAACATGCTAAGTAAAGCAAGCCAGGCAATGAAAGACAAATACCATATGACCTCATCTATAAGTGGAACCTAATTGCCAAAACAAACAAGCAAGCAAAATACAACCAGAGACATTGAAATGAAGAACAAACTGACAGTAACCAGAGGGGAGGTGGGAGAGGCCCATGGGGAGGAAAGGAAGAAGTGTTTTCAGGAACATGAACAAAACCAAAGGGGTGTAGGATCAAGGGTGGGAAGTGGGGATGGCTGGTGTAGGGGGAAAATGGAAGCAACTGTACTTGAACAATAATAAAAAATTGTGGAAAAAATGAAAATATGCAAGAAGTTATATATTATATGCTTGCATTAAAATATTTGGAAATCTGCACACTTGAGTTTGTGACTTGAGAAATCTGTAGATGCTGCATGAAGTTCTTTGAGTGAATTTTTGAATATTGTGTCCTCCCTTTGTTTACTCAGGAATTTCTCCTGCAACTGTCTTCAGAGCCATTAGAAAGCAAGCATCCTGTGGAAATACTTGGCTTGTTTAAAAGAAAGGTTTAATTAACTAATTAACTTTTTTGAGTGAGGGAAAGGGAGGGAGAAAGAGAGGGAGAGAAATATCGATGCAAGAGAGAAACATTGGTTGGTTGCCTCTTGTATGTGCCCCGACCAGGGATTGAACCTGCAACATAGGTACGTACCCTAACTGGGAATCAAACTGGAGACCTTTCACTTTGTGGGATGATGCCCAATCAACTGAGCTGTATCAGCCAGGGCTTTACTTGGCTTTTTTTTGTTGTTGTTGGTTTTTCTGTTTTAGCTTTTTTTTTGTCCCAAATAACATTTACTAGCATAGCTTTGGATGCCTATTGTTTTCCAAACTTATATTCCCCTAATTAAGTTAAAATTTTGTTTGTGCTTCTCCTTCTTTAGAGAGATTCAGCAAACTGACATGATGGGGAACTGGATGCCTAGGGACAAACATCAAGTATTAGCTGGAGTGGAGTTTTAACTCAAATAGCTAGTTACAACTAGATAACTTTCTAGAAAGAACTTGGCAGGCATATCCTATGGCCAAACTCCCCTGTCCTTTGAGGGAGAGGCCAACAGTTCACATTAAAAGCCCCACTTCCCATCCCCAGTTCAGTTAACTGTACATCAATTAAATCTCAATAAAGCTGTTTTTTTTAAAGAAATCTTTTTTAAAAATTGATTTTCAGAGATAGGGAGAAACAGAGAGAAGAGAGAGATCAATCGATCAATTTTTTTGTTCTGCTTATTTATGCATTCATTACGTGCCCTGACCGGGGATTGAACCTGCAACCTTGGTGTACTGAGGTGATACTCTAACCAACTAAGCTACCCAGTTAGGCCAAAGTTGTCTTTTAGAAAGAAAAAAAGTCTGTTTCCTTTTACCCTCTCTATCTTTTGCTTTGCTCTATACAGCTCCTGTATCAAAATCTGTCCCCCCTGCCCTAATTAGTACATGGATTTTATCGCATCTTTAAAATATCACAAATAAGTCTGAGGAATCACCTGGCACCTTGATGTTTCTATAGCCAAACAGCTTAGATCTTACTCATCAGCCTGCTAAACTGTTCCTTTTTCAGAAACATAGTTACTATCCAAAATTTTTCTGGTATTCTTATTTTTAACTGTTGGGGTTTGTTGGATCAAAGCAGCTGAATACAAGTTCATACAAGTTCAGTGTCATTTCCTTCAAGAATGAACTCATCTTTCTGGGCTTGAGACACTGAAAAAGCAATGCCTGACCTCATCGAAACACTGCAGTTGTATATTTCCTCCAAGAAATTTCAGATTTCAACAAGAGAACCATTCTCCTGAATAACGATGTTGATGGGAGGTTGAAGGCAGACAGACTCATCTTGTAATGGAAGCCCAGTGTGACACCTTTGAACATGTTCTGTACATGATGACAGATAGTGTGAAAAGTGGCCAGTTCCTTCCCATTTCCCCACCATTTGCCAACCCAAAGCTTCTTCTTTTTCTTTCCAAGGTGACTGAGCTCTACATTGATGTAATTGAAGTCTCTCTGCAGGGAGCCTCTGGGGCCCTTCAAAATAACCATGTATTCCTTCAGAGTGACATTGACATTTTCTGGAATGTCAACAGTCTGATTCTGAGGATGGTCCACATCCTTGTATCTAGCAGATACAGCAAAGAGCTCAAAGTCTCTTGCAATAAGATAGATTATGTGTATTCTTGAGTAATGAGTAAATATATATATATATATATATATATATATATATATATATATATATGCATGAGAATCTAAAAAAAGTCTTCCCCCCAATAGTTTCAGGCTCAGATCCCTCCTAAGTTTCCTCTGTCCACTGAAGAAGCATTCAGTAGGCAGCAGAGAAGGGAAGGAATGATGTAAAGTGGGCAAGGGATAGATGGACTTAGGGAAATGGGGCCCATTATAATAGAAGAATTTGGAGTCTGATTTTTCTCATTCTGCCATACCTCCCAGGGAAACTCTAGAACCCCAAACAGTCAACTTTGGCCTGAAGTTTGGGCTGAGAGTGCTCTGAAGGTCAATCCTAGTCTCTTGTTCAGGTAGCAAGAGAAGGTAGCCTATTAAGTGAAAGGAAAACCAGACTTAGATCAAGATGTCAAAGTTCTGGCCTTGGTTTTGCCCATAGTATGTAATATGTGGAACTCATTAAAGTTTTACAGATCTCTGATTCTCTTTCTAAAAAAGGTATGGGTTGGAGAAGATGAATTTTAAAGGCACTTTCAACAGTAAAATCCACTTTGAATCTTGGGGCATACACCAAATATAGCAGAAACTTTATTAGAAACATCAAATACATTCACAGGAATTCTCTGTTCTTCAAGTCTCCACCTTTTGATGACCAGCAATCAGAAGGCTCCCAGTCCAAAGAAGTGTCCTGTGACTTGGGACAGATGTCTCTTCAGGAACAATGGACTGGCAACTGCAGCAACAGCAGCAGCAGTAGCTCTAACTTCCCAGCTGAAATGGGAAGCCAGTTGGCTCCATTTTCAACCTTGCGGGGCTCAATGAGAGTTTGGTATGGACATATTTCCCTCACATACATGGGTCCTATTGTGAAGATCCCAGACATCATCCTGCAGCCAGTTACGGATGTACAGCCTTTGACCTCTAAAGTTGAGTCGATGTCTCCTATGGAACAAGGAAGGATGGGAGACACAGAGATGCTTTAGGAAATCAGAGAGGAATCTAGTTCCTCATTCCTGGGCCCCTGAGTGTCAGAACCTCTTGGGATCCACTCATGTATCTAGTTTTACAGCCTCTGAAACCATCAGATGTTCAGTTTACCTCCAGCCACCCGAAGTTTTCCTTGATAGCATCTATTTGTATCACTGGGACAGGGGAGATAAGGTGCATTCAGACAGGTCCCAAAAGCCACACAGGTTGGGCAGTAGAGGGTTTCTGACCCATTGGAAGCTGGAAGGGGAAAGAGAGGGACAATTAAGAGTATGTCCTGCTTCTGGAGTTGTCTGTCCTTGCCTCCTTCTCTTCCCCAAGTTTTTCCTGCTGATGCCAGTCTAATCAAGGCCTGTTAATGTCACCTCCCAACTCTTTTCCAACTGATTTTCTTTGCTGCCAAAGCATGACTTTCACACTCTGTACTTAGGTGTGGAGATACAGAGATGAGGAGAACAGTTCCATTTAGGATTGTTGTCTAGGAGGAAAAAGACATGTAAACAATGAATTACAATACTACTCAGTAGGCACCGTGTCTTAGGTATGAGAGCGAAGGCTTAAAGGAGGACATAACTACCTAAAAGAATTTGGTAGTATTTTCAGAGTGGAGACTGGGCTGAGCTGGAGGATGAAGAGGGGTTAGCAGTGTGGAAATGGGGGTTGGGTGAAAAGAGCAGAGGAATATGGGAAATTGTGAGAAAATGCAGTGTTGGCATTCAGCTGGTAGGCACATGTGGGGCTGGACTGGTTTTTATAGCCAGCGTCCATTCTGATTGGCTGCTACCATCTCCGTTGTCAAGTATTTTGAATACTAGCGTCAGCTAGAACACAATGAATAAGAGAGGGAAGAGAAGGAAATGAGCTGAAAGGCTAGGCCAAATGGGGGAAGTGGGCTGTGCTCACATGGCAATTGGGAAGCAATAACTTGTTGTACTGATTATGCTACCACCCTCTTCAGAAACCTCCACTGACATCTTTTTTAGTAACACAAAACCCAATTTATACCCAGGCCTTCACTGATGACCCTCAGGTCTGAGCAGTGTTTAGACCTCAAGGTAACAATTTAGAAAAAGAAAGACAAGCAAAAGTTCTGAAGTCCTTCTGTGTATGGCCCAATTGGACCTAAGCCAAGTGAGAACAAAAAAGGAGTGCTGGGCAGGTACTTGAGATATTGGGGGAACACTTTGTAAAGTATACCATTGTCTAACCACTATGCTGTACACCCAAAATTAATACAAAGTAATACTGACGGTAAACTGTCTTGAAAAATAAATAGATAAATAAATAAATAAATAATAATCTGGGAAAAAAACCACAAAGAAGGAAGACCTACAATCTCTTCAGAGGTTTATAGAGTTTCTCTCTATAAACCCATCTCTCCTCTCTCAAGGTACCTGGGAGAATTTCACTCCATAAATCAGGTAAGTTCGCTCTGTCATTGCAATTGGAGAGCTCACAGTAGTGGCTGGAGGAGACCACCATGACGCCCGGGGGTGAGGAGTGCTGGACAAACGTTATTGCCGGACTCTCGTCGGAGATGCAGCCCTTCGTGGCTACAATTGCTGTCTTGGGCCCTGTTATGAGACAAGAGGGAAGGACCTGGGATGGCGGGCCTCATGTTTGGCCTGAGGGGAGGGGAACACGCTGACCCTCCTCCCACCCAACCCAAGGGCCCTTCTCATTCTACCTGATTGAACAATCAGCAGGGATTCATGGCAAAGCGATCCATTGTCACAAGTCTCAAATTTCTCTGTGCTCCAGTCAAACATGCTCGGATCGTCTTCCACGCTCATGACTATACCCTTGTGACAAGAGAAATTTTGTGCCACTGGGGAGAAAATGAGATAAAGATAAGCCCTTGCCCTTCTCTGTGGGGCCCAAATCACACCTTTTTTTTTTTTTTTAGCAGAAATCCCTCCTGTGACCCCGCTCCCCCGCCCCCCCCACCTCCCCCACACATACTAGTCAAGGAGGAGGCTCCGAGGAGAAGGAGGAACAGCAAACCCTGGGTGGGCTGGGGACCCATGGCTCCTTCCAGAGAGGTTTGCAAGAGCTGATGAGGACCTGCGTGCGACTGGATGCAGGAGAGGAAGCTGTCAACCCCGCAGCACCAGACCAAATCTAGGTCCTGGCAAGCACGGGGCTTCAGGGCCCGGTGAGCTTCTTCGAGCCCAGAAGTCAGCCTGCCCCTAACTGTTGTGTGGGCGTGCGCACGCGCACTAGCTCACTGGGCCTCAGTTTCCACCGCTGGGATTCCCAGGCCCAGCCACCTGCTCCCCGGAAGGCCAGGCGTTCAGCAAACAGAGGCTGCCCAACCCCAGGACCCCGGAGTCCCGCCCAGAGGCCCCTCCTCCTTCGGACTCAGCGTCCAGGCTCGAACCTCTGCTGCTCTTCCAAGGCCCAGGTATCCCAGGCCCCGGCCCCGCACCCGCCAGAACCCCGCATTCTGAGACCCCGGCTCCGTCCTCCCCAGGGGCCCCAGAGCCTGGGTTCAGTGGCCCAGCCCCTGCCCCTCCCCCCGCCGCCCCCCCCTTCTCTTTCCCCAGGATCCAGGAATCTGGGTTCCCAGCCCCCTTTGGGTTTTTAAAGCACCGAATTCCTTCTGGCTTCCAGAGAACCTCACAGGAATCTAACGATGCTGAGAGTGCCTCTTTGAATGCCCCTTCTGCCCCCACCTGACCTTATCTTAACGGCTGGGTGACGCAAGCCCTCCTCGCCAGCCCCCCCAGGTCACTCGATGCTCCATTGGTCAAGCAGAAGCGTCCGATGAGCTCATTGGGTGAGCCTGGAGGAACGCCAGACTTCGTGGGCCCCAGCAGGCTCGGAAAAGCACGCATGCGCAAAATAGAGAGTGGCGGATAAGCTCTCGCGGGTCGGGGTGGAGTTCTCTGCATTCACAGCGTGCAGAGTGCAATGCAGCAAGTAGCAGCACATCAGCAAACAACCTCGCTTACTCTGTTCTCTTTCTGGGCAATGGCACTTCTACTTCCCCAGTCACACCAGGCAGTTAAACCTTTGGCCCTCACACACTGAAGAAGTTTACTCCCAGGCCAAATGGCCTCTCAGGGTTCCAGGCTGGCTCCAGCCCCCATGCAGAAGTCATAGCCACTGGCTTCCTCAACCTGACCTCCTCACTCTTTAGTTGGCAGTGGCTCAGCCCAGGAGCCATCCTCTGATCGCATCACAGCACCAGTCCTGTAGTCCATCGCCTTCTGGAAGCTGAAGAGAGGAATGCCGACCTCGGCGTTATTTCCAGCACCCCTGAGTGTGCGCACGAGCAGTTACTGTGTGAAGGCACAGGCCACCGTCGTGTGTAACCCACGTGTCTGTGTCGGTACCATGAACCAGACCTGTCATTCTTATTTCTTGTTCATGGCTGAACATTCTGTTTCATTCCTGTATATGTGTATATAAACTTACTGGATGTAACATGAAATAACATGCCTGTTGTGTACTTTCAAACTTAGTATTATTTCTGTGAGTTGTATGGTATAAATGAATATTTATTTTTTCTTTTTTTTAAAGAATTTTATTTATTTATTTTTAGAGAGGGGAAGGGAACGAGAAAGAGAGGGAGAAAAACATTGATGTGTGGTTGCCTCTGGTGCACCCCATACTGAGGACCTGGCCCACAACCCAGGCATGTGCCCTGACCTGGAATCAAACCCGTGACCCTGTGGTTCTCAGGCCGGTGCTCAATCCACTGACCCACACCAGCCAGGGCAGAATATTTATTTTTAATAGAGGAAATGCCATAATAAGAATGGTGTTGGCAAAGCTCTTAATTTTTTATAAAAATATGGTAAGAACTTTAAAATGGTTAAAAAACCCTAACGAGAGTTAATACAGACATTAAGAGAAAAGCAAATTAGCTAGAGTAGGAAGAATATTATATCTTTTAGAATCTCTCAAAATTTTTTTTAATCAATTAATCAATTTAATTTTTTAAAATATTGATGGTTGTGTCCCACCCCAAGAGATTTTGATGTAATTAGTCTTAAGTGTAGCCTCAGCCTGTGGATTTTCAAAAATATATTTTATTTATTTATTTTTAGAGAGAAGGGAAGGGAGGGAGAAAGAGGAAGAGAAACATTGATGTACAAGAGATACAGTGATTGGTTGCCTCTCACATGCCCCCAACTGGGGACCTGGCCTGCAGCCCAGGTGTGTGCCCTGACCAGGAATCTAACTGATAACCTTTCTGTTCGCAGGCTGGCACTCAGTTCAGTGAGCCACACCAGCCAGGGGAAATAAATAGTTTTATTTTATGAAAACAACAACAACAACAATAACAACAACAACAACAACAACGACCACCAAACCAATAATCCAAGACGAAAGAGCTGCAATTAGATTATATTGTAGCCTAAATCATTTGGTGTTTTAACATTCAAAACACTAAGAATGGGCATGTGATTCATGCAGGGGATAGGAAATCATTAGGTGTCAGAGGCCCTCAGGTCCTGGGGCTGCAGGGCTGGGGTCATCAGGAGGCAGGAGAGGATGAAGCACCTCACAAAAGGGCCATGGCCAATGCCAACCAGGCCAGGGATAGTGGCCACAGATTTCAGGGGGAGCAGTCTCTGTGTTACCTCTGGTGCGAGTGAGTGTGGTTGATCTTGCTATCGGTGTCTGGATGGCATATTCTGGAAGTTTTGGCAGTTTTTAGGATAATTGAAGGGATTGTCTTGAGTGGTGCCTTTTAACAGGGAGTAGGCGTAGGGGCTACGCAGTCTTTAGTGCACACTATGGTTTTGATCCCACCTCCAGGAGCAAAGACAGAAAGAAATTTACCTCAGATGCAGGGTCCCTACTGCCTGGCTCCCGTCCTCTTATCACGAAGGAACTTGCGGGTCCCTATCTCCAACCCCTCCTCCCTCTTAATATGTTAAGAACTTTCAGCTGGGGAGAGTTAACAATAAGAGTGTAACTATGAATATTATTATTAACCTAAAAATATCAGAGGCAGCAAAGATAAATATTAAGAGGGTCTTTGAGGACCCGGGAGCCTGAATCACTCTCCCTTGTTTTCAGGACTCAGGGCACCCACCTCTGTGAATCTGTGGTAGTACATGGCTTTCCTAGGGCACTCTGTAACCACAGGCGTGGGCCAGGGTCTCAGGTCTCGAGCACAATTGCCAATGCAGGATCAATGGATTGGGGGGATCTGGAGGCTAGAGAGGGTGGCTGGCAGCTGCACAGCCACCTGCTTCCAACTCTCCAATCTCGTCTCTGGTCCCTCACCCCTTCCCATTCTCTCTGACTTGCACTTCCCCTGCCTCTTCAGTCCTGGCCTCACAGCTGGTTTCTAGCACCTGTAGTGAAAGTCCTCTGACACTGACTCATGGCCTGTGTATTTGTTTCCTGGGGCCTGAGAGGCTTAAACAAAAGAAATGTATTGTCTCACAGCTCTGGAGACTGGAAGTCCAAAATCAAGGTATTGGCAGGGTTGGTTCCTCCTGAGGGCTGTGAAGGAAGGGTTGGTTTCAGGCCTTCTTCTTGGCTTGCAGGTGGATATCTTCTCCTTGTGTCTTCCCATCATCTTCCTCCTGTGCGTGTCTGTCTGTGTCCAAATTTCCCTTTTTCATGGGGAAACCTGTCATATTGGATTAGGACCCACCCTAATGACCTTTACTTTGATTACCTCTATAAAGACCCTGTGACCAAATAGGTCACTTTCTGAGGTCCTAGGGCTTAGGGATTCAACTTACCAATTTGGTGGGGGGAAGGGGGACACAATTCCATCCATAAAAGCCTGTTAGAGAGCCTTGGGTTGCTGATGAAGTAGTGAGTGCCAAACAGTGCCCCATTTTGCGATTTCTTCTGTTTTACTGTCATTTCCTGCTGGGACCCTGGCCAATTCAATATTTAGGATAAGGAGTGGCACTTGGAAACAGAGGCATAAAACTGTATTCTGGGATTAGGTTTCCATCACCCAGGAGATGCACAGAGATAAGCACCTTGTTGGGGGCAGAGGGGGCACAGGTGAGACTAAGTGTGTGGTAATCTCTCAATGGCTCAAATTATCACTGGTGCTAGCAGTGAAAGCAGTGCAAGTGGAAGGCAAGGCATTGGGAGTTGAAGTGGCTGTGGTACTTTGTTACTATGGCAACAGGAGCGCATATGTTGATTGTGGAGTCAGTTGGTTTCTTCAGATGATCCCCCAGAGCATACATGGGGAAGGGGAACAACTGAAAATTGAGGATGTCCAAATGGAAGTGCAACGAACAATTGGAAAGCTTCCTTGGTAGAGCATCCCTTGTCTTCTCTAGTACCAGCGCAGACATGGCTGACCACAAAGCCCAGAGCCTGGTTGCAGAGTTGCACCACCAGGTAAGTGTTGAACCCTGCCAGGCTGTGCTAAGGTGAAGGCATGGCAACCCTCGGACATGGGATGGAGACCTTGGGCAGACCAAACTCTCTGCACATTGATAGTCCGCCTCTTCTGTGTGAGGCAACCAGCCCTCCCTGCATAGAAGCCTGCCAGTGATGCACCTGGGGGCAGTCCCCTCACAAGGCAGTGCTTGTTGTCCTCCAGATGTACAAGAGCCACTTTCCAACATAGTCCAGAGAAACACAGGGCCTGCCTGGGATAAGCATGCCACAGACTGACAGCCTTATAGGACTTCACCAGTCTGCCCTGGCAGGAGTCCCCGAGCACGTGCATGAACACATTCATGCCAGTCATCTGTTTATTGCCTCTCAGCTCCAGATCCACTCATCATTGCTGTAGTGGATCTTGCAAGCATTTTTCCTTGTCCTCCTGGCACGAAGCTAGCCTTTTCCAGTAGAGGGTGCCAGAGGGACACTGCAAGAGGAAAGGCTTCTCTTCCAGCCTGAGGGGAAGAGGTTGCTCCCTACGTTCTTCCTTACTCTTTAGAGTTCTCCTTTCATTTTTAGTAACCAGTCTCCACATTAATACTAATCCTCTGTTACTAGTGACTAATTTCTTTTTTAAAATATATTTTATTGATTATGCTATTACAGTTGTCTCATTCCCCCCTCCCTTTATTCCCCTTCACCTTG